TAAGGGAATATTCCGATTTTTTGGCTTCAAAAAATCGATTTTTTTTACATTTTCTCAAAGTGCATGTTTTCGAGAATGTTTATGTAAAAGGATTTGTTTGAATTCGTAGAATTAACGAAGTTATAGATGTTTAAAGGAGACGGTGTCCTGCTGACAACGTGTGGCGCACAGCCGTACCGCAACCACATGTATATCATTCTCTTAAATTTATTCGAAATTTGTTGTCGAGGGCCATGTATTTTAAAGTGAAGTTCCAGCTGGTATTATCTGTTCCTTACGAGTAACGATTCTATTCGGAGAAAAATTATTCGAACACACATTGGGCATTATTTGAATAAAATTTTATTCAAAATATTTACTGAAATAATATAAAGAAAAAGAATCAGGAGTATATTTTTTTTTCAATTTTGGTTTATTTAATAAATTTGCTTTAATATTTAATAAAGCGGAATCTACTTCAACCGACCAACATTTACAAACAAATGATAACGTAAAAATTCTTGTACTACAATTTTTTACAGATAATAGAAATGATTACTGTTCTGGCGCAGAACAGAACCCTCCGAGGCGTCTTGTCAGGTCAACTCCTACAAAGCCTCGGACATAGCGAAGAGAGGATTCAAGGGAGTCACCAATAGATCATTCGAGGAGACACACGTAGACCACTCGACGAGACACACGCAGTCCGTCAGAGGACTGACTCCGCGTCAGTCATACATTCACCTTCATTTACACCCAATTCAATCATTGTATTAGTTGAGAATAAACGTATTTATTCTACATCACGTCTTCATTCATTAAAACATCTCTCCGGAGGCTGTAACAGGCACGACGAGAGAGCGACTAGCGAAGCGGGCAGCAACCAACGTTCACCGTCGAGCTTGCCGTAACAATTACATATCTCTGAATGCATATTCCATAATTAAAAATATATTTTTGAAATATAACACTCCTTCGCCATCTTCTGTTCCAGTTTGTTTTCATTTGCAACGACAACAAACTCGCTTAAAGCAAACAGATTAACTAACAAAATGTTCGAACAAAAAATTGTACTAAAGGCAAATTTATTAAATAAACCAAAATTGTGAAGAAATGACTCCTGATTCTTTTTCTTTACATTATTTCAGTAAAAATAAAATGTTATTCGAATAATGCCCAATTTTATATTCGAATAAAATCGTTATTCGTAAATATCGAATAATTTATTCGAAATTTTATTCAAAGAATTTATTCAAAATGTTATTCGAATAATGCCCATCTCTGATCCTATCCCCATTGAACTTTTTCCAACTCGATTCGAAATCATCAGGCTACCCGAAATCGCCGGGCTACTCGAAATTTTCGGGCTATCCGCGCGAGCCCAACTTTGTGCGAGCCCGACCCGAACCCGAAATTTCGGGTACCCGCACACCCCTATTGAAAACGCGATTCAATGGCGGTCGTGCTAGTGCACTACGCCACGTTTGTGCTGCTGCCGATGAACGTACGACGAAACAGTTCACTCGACGAACTACTCGAGTAATCATCGTGCAGCGGCATTTTTTGCGCGAGAAAATACGTACAGATGATAGTAGGTTGCCACTCTGACAGTTGTCTAATTACGTCAGTTTTCGCTATCTCTTGTCATTTAATAAATAGATAACGCTGTCATCGAATATGTGTACACATACATTTTTGCGTACTCGGGAAATATTCTCTGGTTGCAAACATGTGAGGATATTATAATCGAAACAGTCGCGGCAAAAAAATTGCATATTATTCTCTATTGTGTGATATTTTCTGGTTTATTTCGAACTTTCTTGATTTTCCTCTTCCAATGAACTATCACGTAATGTGATACATGTGAAACCTTATGGATTTCATTGTTACGATATAACGCGAAAATTCACTGCAAAATAATTAAACGACGGATGTTGCCACGAAGGAAATACAATAATTATAATAGATAAATGCAAATTTAGTAATAAGACATTGTTTAAGTAGCTCACAAAAACATTTTTTTAATGGATCTCTATGATTTTCTTTTCTACGATAGAATTTTTTCTATTGTGAATAAAAAAATATTACGGTACAATGTCGAAAAAAGATTATGTGATTCTTGAAATGCTTCAAATTTTATACGGGATGCGGCTTTTAAATGAAAATATATCTGCTTTATTTTTGTTTTTATAAAAAAAATGTTCGAGATAAAGTTACACTACTTTTTTCTTATTTTCATTATTAAAGTCGCATTAACTTGTGCGGTTTATTAACGATTTTTGCATTATTCTAAGACGCATAATCTTTGAAAGTGGAAATAACATTTCTTCAAAGTTATTTTTATAACATTTAAAAGTGATGGAAATCTAACATATTTGTTGATATTCTTATGAAGCATAAAAATTACAGTTTATTCATTTGAATTTCATTCTAATCATTTCATCTAGAGAAATTTTTTTCGGAACGAAACGTTTATTGAGAAAGTTGAATTTCACATTAAAACAGTCACTGCAGTCAGGGATTCAGGATTTTTTGGGGCGTTCGGTAAGACTGCTGTTTGTTAGGAATGGAGGGATTTATGGTGATTTACGTTCGATGGTGGGGTCTAATATTTTAAATAAGTTTTTAATAATTTTAAATAATTTTGGTAAGTCTGATATGAAAAAGGGACTTTATTAGAAAAAGATAGATTTTTCACTCAGTAGCTTCTTGACGTAGAAATATCTTACGTTTATCTTTCTCTGATTTATACTTTGGTCTTTGACCGTACCTGAAGACGACTCATAGCGTAACAAATTCCTAAAAAGTATTTAAAGGAACATAGGTTGCAGACTTTCTATAAGCATAATTACTAAAGTGCATTATGAGAGGATGTTATCATGTCTCATGCTGTTCTATTTGTCAAGAAACGAAAATATAGGAAACATAATATTACATAAACATAAAATTTAAAATCAGGAAAAGGATTTTTAATAAACATTATTTTTAATTATTTTTAACAAAATTTTTTATTTTTTAAAATATATGTAGGGATATAATATAAATAATATTTATTTAATGAAAATTATGATAACAAAATAACAAATAGTTAAACAAGACAAATTACTTTAAAACAATACGAATTAACAACTCAAATAAATTCTTTAACAACACAATTGACACTTTTAAACAGATCTCCTTCAAGGCTCTCTTACGACTCTCACGACTCTGATCTTTTTTTTAGAAAAGAAAAGCGCTCTGTACCTACGTTGGATTTCTCACATCACATTCATATTTTATATAATCAACAAACAGGCCATCTGTTATATTTAAACACAACTAAAATTAGATTAATTATAATAACTGACAACTGATAATAACCGATATTACATATATTTAATAGAAAACGTTATAAATATAATTAGTAGGAAAACAATGTCACATTCATACGTAGCATGTCTTTCTTTCATCTTAGTTGTCCTATTATTTCACAACACAGCCGTACCGTACAATGAATGAAGTAATAGAATTAACAGGATGGACTACATGAAGGAATGTCTTATCCATCCCGAAGTAAATTGTTATTGAATGTTTACTATACTGTTTACTAAAAGTGGCATTTTCATCGGCATCAAAATAGTACATCAACACAATCGAACTGTTTATAATATATTTTAGAAAAAATTAATGAACATTGAATGTACTCCAAATTGTGTTAGAATACATTTAATATACAGGGTGCGGCACGATTTCTCGGACACTTTTAATTGTGTGACAAAAAATGTTTTGAACAAAAATTAATCAGTTTCTATTTGGCTAAAATGTACAATATAAAAAGTTCCAAAAACTTTTTTTTCGATAAAAAAAATCAAAGTCACATTGATTATTTTAAATGGCACCGTGTATTTTTCACTTCGTAGGATTGTTGCTTTTGAAAAAACGAATTCAGCGACTTATTATACTGTGACCCTCAGATGTCTTTGACTTCAGAAATTTATGTTTAATTAACAGAAATTGTTCATTGTAAATTTTTCAAGAAAATTATGTTTTTTAAACCAATGAGGATCAATTCTGAACCAGAAATGATATCTGTGAATTACACATTATTTAAATACTTTTGTCGATTTAACGGTCTAACACTACAATACAAGTTATGTTAATATTTTTTCATAACATTAATATCAACATGACTTTCTGATATTTATAATTCTGATAATTCTGATATTCAGTCTTAATCTGTCAGTACAAAACTATGCATGTATTCTAATAATGAAAAGATAGATATGCTGCTTATGCTCGGTAAATGTGATAGAAATGCACATACAATTGTAAATATGTACGCTACAAAATATTCAGAGAGATGCCAGCCGTGTCCAAAAATGTTTTATAACATTGAAAAGCGTGCAAGAGTACATGATTCAAACAAAATAATTTTCGATATTAACGTTTCTGTTGATTAAACCTAAATTTCTCAAGTCAAAGACATCTAAAGGTCATAGTATAGCAGGTCGTTGAATTCGCTTTTTCAGAAGCAACAATCCTGCGAAGTCAAAAATATACTGTGCCATTTTATCGAAAAAAGAAGTTTTTGAAATTTTTTATATTGTACTTTATAGCCAACCAAAAACTGATTAGTTTTTGTTCAAAACACTTTCTGTCACACAGTTAGAAGTGCCTGAAAAATCGTGGCGACAGTTACGTTGCACACCCTGTACATATATATATACTATGTATTATACACTATACACTATAATATATATATACTATGTAATATTTTTTACAATATATTGTAAAATCATTGCTAAATATATATATTCAAGTATGACATCAAGATAATTGAATCATTTTTTTTAGAAGAGCTCAATTGCTCTTCGAGTCACACTACATTTTTGTGAATTTTAACAGTAATGTAAACTGAAATAAATCTTTGTGATGTGCAGCGCATTCATCTTGAATAAACCAATTTGGATATTTTTCTTCGACACAGTGTGAAATTACGAAAATAATTTGTTCAATATGATCCAGTACCTCACTACGTAATTACAGATAATATTTATCAAACGCAAAATTAATAATTCTAAAATATTTGAAAACTGCCGATTCGGAATATGTAAATTTTCAAAATCAACACTGTCTTTGGCACTGATGTAAGCTCTAAAAAATGTCAGTAGTTGCTCGTTTCGAGTAAAAAATCTATTAGTATCCAAAAATGTATCTCATTATCTACAATATTGCGATTTATTAATATATTTCTTAGTAGTGTAATATTCTAGTGCACACGATTCTAATGAACATATTAATATTGGCAGTTTCTCGATATTATCCATTTCTATATAGTCATCAATACTGTTATCATCTATTTTCTCTTCATTGTAAAGCAATGAAGCGTTCAACGCGACTGATTTTTCCTATAGAATATTCTCCTACATTAATGGTACGTCATAATCCAACATGCAATTTCCGTTATGTAAACAATTCTTTAGATTCTATAACACTTCTAATCTTTTCTAATCGCGAGGCGTACTGTTTTTGTTGAAATATTTCGGTTGTAACTGTACATGCGGAGAAAAAATTTTCTATTGGATCGCCATTCAAACGCGATGTCATCAAAAATAAAAAATTGATGGAATTTGGTTTAGTGGAAAAACACGCGTATCCAGTAAACGGTGAGAAAATATATTTATTGAGAGACTTTACGTGGAATATCCTTTACAAGTTGTTTGCTCAGAAGAAATGCGAGTGAGCACGTAGCAACAGGAAAGGCCGATAATACCGCCACAGCGGAACAAAAGAAAAAATCGGAAACAGTCAAAATAAGTGGCGACATCTCTGAGCTTGTTCCTAAAGATCAACAATTGTTGAATACCAACACCCTTCCTCAACTGGTGACTCTCACGCCTTACGGTTTAGTTAGTCCATCTTTAGTTAGTTCATCTTCTTGCCATAAACTTTAATTTTATTTTTCAAGCAGCTTCGTCAACATGTCCGCGGTCATTTCTTCATTCATAATTCTCGCTTCCACTTTTGTTGGACCCTGATGATGCCTCAGTTGCGTTTCGTAGCTATCTGTATTTGTGGCCATATGTGTGGCTACGTACCGATCTGCTGGGATACCTCTGTTTGATCTTTCGGACCACCTGTATGGTTGAGGTGTTGTATCTTCATCCACCGATTGTATCCTGGATTCGCTGTCTGCTTCATGGAAGGAATCGCTTTTGTCTGCACTTGATTCTTCCTGTGATGATTCTTTTTTGGCTGCTGTATCTTCCATGATTTGTTCATCAGTTTCCCTTGATCCAGAATCCCTCTGGTTTCCTTTACTTGAGCATGTTACCTCTTCAGCTACCGTATGGGTCTGTTTATCTTTGCAAACTATGTCCAGAAAAATCATATCCCGGCTGATCTTTACTTTATTCGTCTTGATGTCCAACAATAGAAACACCTTTGAGTCTTCTGAATATCCGACAAAAGTAAATTTTTCTGCTTTATCGTCCAGTTTCTTTTGTTGCTGCTTATGTACGAACACGTACGCATCGCAACCAAAGGTATGTAGATGTTTTACATCTGGACGTCTGGAGTACCGTAACTCATATGGAGTTTTTTCAGTTGCCCTTGTTGGTAACCTGTTCTGCAAATAGTTTGCAGTGTTTACTGCTTCGCCCCAATACTTTTTGTCCATATTTGCGTCTAGCAACATACATCTTGCCATCTCAATAACGACCTATTTTTCCTTGCAGCAACTCCGTTTTGCTGCGGTGAATAAGGAGCCGTATATTGGATGTGTATCCCTTCCTGTTTCAAGTAATTCCGCAACTCTTTCACGTACTCTCTTTCTCGGTCTGATCTGATCTTTCCTGGTTTCCTTTGGTATTGTGTTTTCAACTCCATAAATTCGTTAATGCGTGCGTCTGCCTGGTTTTTGTAACTCAAAAGGTAAACTTTAGTATATCACGAAAAATCGTCATTATTATTAGTACATACCTTTTGTTACGTGGTGTTACCGTTTGCATCGGCCCGCAAATATCCGTATGAACGAGATCGAGAATTGTACCATTTTTCTTACCTGATGCCTTTGGAAAGGGGATGCGTGCCATCTTTCCTTTAATACAGCACTCGTACCCGCTGCTAACAATCTTTCATTTTTGTGCCTGTTACCAGTACTCTTTCAACCAGATCTTTAATCGCAGCTGGATCTCGATATCCGAAACGTCGGTGCCACGTATATTAAGAGTCCTTAGTGTGACCTGTATCTGCAACATTGACTGTACAAGCCTTTTCAACTGTTTTAATCTCATACAGTTCTGGAGATAACTTCGCTGTTGCCTGCAGTTGTCCGTTCCTTATGATTTTGCAATGGCCGTCTTTGAAACTAACTTTATGGCCTTCCTTTATAAGTTTCTTGAGACATGCTTCTTCAGAAATTTCCGAATGTATTGCATAAAAGCATGTAATAGTCATCTGAAGACTTTTTCTCTGCCACTTGATTTGCCTTTTCCTGTTTCTGTTTTGTATTTTAGGCAATCACTCTTAAAATGGCCGGGCCTTTTACAAAAGTAGCATGTTTTCTTGACCTGCACACTGCTTTTGTTTCTAAGTTCTGTCTTCATTGCTGATTCGTTTCCTTCGATATCGTCTCTTGCATCTTTAGCCCCTTTAGTCTTTTGTACTCAACTATTAGTTTGCCTTTTACGAGATTGAGAACGTAAAGTCACCTTCAGGTCTACTTTCCAGAGCGGTCACAAGAGTTTCGTATGATTCCGGAAGACTACCGAGCAACATGTTTGCCATGAGGTTGTCTGGCAATTCCTGACCGAGAGCTGCCAACTTCGAAATAATGTAGTGATGCGCCATTGTAGTGATGTGCTTCTCCATATCATCTTTAAGTACTGTACGACATAATCGCTTTAACAAAAGTATCTTACTTGTTAAAGTTGCCTTTTGGTGATAACCTTTAAGAATATGTCCCATGCGATGCGCACACCTTTCGCATTCCGAATATGCTGTAATTGGTTGTCTTTTACCAACCAATCGTAGCACGTGCTTTGTCGTCCTTCTGCGACCACGCTGTGGTCACTGGGTTTTTCGTACTTAATTACGTTCCACAATTTTTCTTCAATCAATAAGAGTTCAACCTTGTAACTCCACACTGAATAATTATTACTGTTCAGTTTTTGGATTGAAAAATGAACGCCATTTTCAATTCGCTTCACTATTCTCTAATAAAAATGTGCTTGAATTGTCTTTAATTATCTTTATTCACCGTTCACTGGGTTCTGGGCCCATAACCTGATGAAATTTGGTTTAGTGGAAAAACACGCATATCCAGTAAATGGTGAGAAATTATATATTTATTGAGAGACTTTACGGGGAACGTCCTTTACAAGTTGCTCAGAAGAAGAAACAGTCAAAACAAGTGATGACATCCCTGAGCTTGTTCCTAAATATCAACAATCGTTGACCACCAACAACCTCCAAACCTCCAACCTAACCTAAACCTCCTTTATTTATATTATCCCATGTCTGCACGGTGTAATCCCAAGAAACATGGAGGTGTTTTTAAATTATTAGCCGAAGTAACATAAATTTTCATATTCATTGCATTAAATTTTGTCGAATATTATTAAAATTTGACAACGCATGCTTCATGGGATTGGAATCATTGGCAGATCTACTGTTTAAATTATCAAATAAATCATTTAAAGTTTCGAAGAATCGAGCCGTGTGTTGTATATTTCTTGTATTTATATTACCTGTTAATGAAGCGATGAACGAAGCAGCTGAAACACTTTTACTAAAAATCTGAAGCACGAGCTTGCATTTCATTTTGTCAAAATTATTAGGATTAATATCTTTTTGACAATTTGTAAGCAGTACATTTACTACTTTCTAAAGCAAAATAACTTCTTGTCGCCGGAGAATTATTAACTAAAAATCAAATTTTAATAAATTGTTTCTAATTGATTTAAATAAACGTAAATAATCAAATAAGTAATACATTTTTTCATCATTTCTTATAAAAAAAGGTTCATCAATAAAAACTCGTTCAGCTGTTAAGCTTTGGTTACTTGATCGGAAACAACTGCCCTAACTTTCAAGTTTGTTTCATGTAGTGCATCTAATACTTGATCTAGAATTATTGATAATTCATATTTTTTTATACTAGATTTTACAACAAAGAAAGCAACAGTGGTTTCCAATTTGTAAACAGCCCGCGTAGCGTAAACATAAGAACTTGTGTACGGCTAACTTTTTACCCGAAAGATTCTAAATCTTCGAAATTTTAAATAATTTGACTCTTAGGATGGAAATCAAGACATTTCTTGGTAGCCATTTCATCAAATATTAAAAAAAATTCCGATCAATATCTTTCAAATATCAGAATTTTAGTTTTAACCCGTTAAATAAATTTTGGCAAATACCTAGCATGTTGATTTTTCCGAGCCGTCTGATAATCGTGCTTGAGTAAGGAAGGTTAAAACTCAAAACGTCACGCATTTTATTGTACAAAGAAGTGTAATGCATTGTCACACTAATTTTTGTTCCTTTTTCATAAAAACTTCGAGATCTCTGGATTTAAATAATAATATTGAAACAAGCCCGAAGATCAGTTTTTAATCGATTACACTTTGCCCGTAGTTGCGAGCGAAGAATATTAGAGCTATTGTAGTATCGGTTATTATCAGTTATCGGTTATTATAATTAATCTGTAGTTATCATTTCAATTATGTTTAAATATAACAGATGGCCTGTTGATCATAGAAATATGATAAAATATAAATGCGATGCGAGAAGTCCAACGTAGGCATAAAGTGCTTTTCTTTGTTTAAAAAAAGACCAGAGTCGTGAGATAACGTTGAAAGAGAACAATTAAAAAGTCTCAATTGTGTCGTTAAAAGAATTTTTTTGAGTTGTTAATTCGTGTTGTTTTAAAATAATTTGTCTTGTTTAATTATTTATTGTTATAATTTTCATTAAATAAACATTATTTGTATTATATTTCAACACTATTAGAGTTCTCTTGCTGCAATTGAGCTTCCAATCAATCTCTCTTCCAAGTCATTGAATTTTCTCTTTGATAAAATGTCATCATTTTCAACGTCTGTTTCATTATCACTATTTTCATTAGAGTGAAAAGAACTCGGAATTTTTGGCATTATTTTTAGCGCAGTCGACTCGTTTGAAAAATGACGACTGTACAAGTGCTTATTTTTTAATTCACTATTAGACATTTCCACCCAATCGTCTAATTCACAGTTGATTAGCCCCGTTATCATTTATTTTTTCTTTGATATTCATCTTTTATTCTATATCAGTTCAAACTACGAAATAATTTAAAATTGGACGGCTAAATTAAGATGCTAAAAATACATAAGATCTCTTTCAGATGTGGTTTATATTTAGAAATCAAAAATTCAATATTGATTTAGAAATCAAAAATTCAATAAATATCACTTATTTATAAAAGGATGGAATTCTATTCATTTTCTTCATGTAATTATATAGTTGATTCTATAAGTTACATTTATTTGAGTCACTTGAGACATTGTCACACACAAACAAAATCGCGCTACTGTCAACGTTCAATATACATAAGAGACACACAATATAATTAATAATTTGTTCTGGTATTTTCCTCAAATCTACATGAATGGATAATTATATTTCACTGAATGTTATTACAAAATACTTAGTTTTTACACAATTGGTTTTAATATACAGTATATAATTTTACAACGTTTTCTGTATTCCATGCGTTTTATAAATAAAGTATTGTAAAAAAAGGAAAAATAACTGAAAGATATTGAATGTGATAACATGAATTCGTATCAGAAATCAAAATTTATGGTTTCTTTTTATTTTCTAAGATAATTCTATCGAAACTTATATATTTCGTATAAAATTATATTTGTTTTGTGGCATTTTTATAAAAAGAAATGATACACTTCGGAACTTTTTTGAGTAGTGTCTTTAAGAAATAGGTATTTTTAACTGAATTTTAACAAGAGTTCTATGGAAACAAATAATATTTAATCAAAAATTCATTTTTGTATTTGAGTATTCGTCGAATAGTATTTAATGTTGTATTTGCTTCAAATATTGAGCACTTTTCTAATATTGACGAACAAATTATCTGTTTCTTCAACAGAAAAATGTTTTCTTTTGTATTTTTTTCGCAAGTCCTACTCTGTCTGAAACTTTTCAAATTAAAGAACATTTATTTATCTGTTTTTATTGAGACTTGTAATACAAGAACATTTTTTGAAAAAGTTCTACAATCCATATTTCAAATAGAATCTATTTCAAAGTTCTTTAATTTTTTATGCTTAGTTAATACCAATTTATATTCATTGCTACAGTTGAATTTTGTGTGCTTTATTTAGTCTTGAATTGATTTTTTCTTCCTGCTTTATTCTCACGTATATCAGACAGATAAAACTGTTTGAAAAAGTTGACGAATAAAGCAAAGTACTGAGAAATATCAGCGCAGAATGTTTGAGGTTTGAAGTTGTAACGTTGCATTGAATTTAGGCAATATACACATTGTAATATGCTGAAATAAGTATATCCCAAGGCATTTGTATTATCTGCAGCATAATGAGCATCATGGAGACTCATTTTAGTAGACTGAATAGCATTGCTTTCAAAGCGTAATAAGAATACATACCAGAGTGTATGAAAGCGTTTATTAAGCTAAACCAGCTGTTAGATTCTGTGATTTCCACAAACGAGAGCTATCTATAAAGAAAAACTATTGCGTGGTGGTATCAGTGTTGAAATATCAATGGTTGCTTTCGTAACACTATGAAAGCAGTGTCACCGAATTCTATTAATTTCGTCATAGTGATAAATGTCTGTAACCGAAAACTGCTTACGGGACTGTGTGTAAGATATCTGTAAAAGATGTAATTACTTGTATTATAAATTAATTTTTTTGAAACATTATTACATATGTATTTTGATTTTAGTATGTATGCCAACTAAAACAAATTCATTTTCTGATATTGCTTGCTTTTAAGCAGAATATCTTTTTTTAAGCAGAAGAAATTCTTGTCTCTTCAATGGCGTTTACGATTATTGTGAAAAATTGATTAATGTTTCGAAATCTATCGATTGTACGAATGTAATGTTGTTAGAGTTATTAGAGAGATATTAGTAAAAATATTCTTTTACACTGAAAATTAGAAAAGGCCGTTTCTAGTAACTATGTATTTTAGATTTGGTGTAATACATTTTTATTCAATGCTTTATCCGAAATATTAACTATTTTTTATTCAATGCTTTATCCGAAATATTAACTATTCCATTTAAAAAATATTCATACCTTGACAAAAAAGCAAAATGACATAAAACTGATTACAGTACTATATGTCCCCCTGGAAGCCATGCAAATTCTATCTGAACGTACAAATATTTTATGAGTTATTCGATGTCGTCGCGTTACGAGACTCACCCTGTATATTATAGTTACCACATTTTCTGAATATTTTTTGCAAATATACTTTCACTATATTTATATTTTTACTATTACTATACTATTACTATTACTATAAAAATTACGCAGATATTTGGTATAAAAAAAATTATGGGCTACATTATTATTAAAATTCATATTCTCATTCATCAGGTTCTCATTTATAATAAAACGCCGTTGATTGTTCATTAATTACTAAATTTATAAATAAAAAAAAATATTCAGAGAAGGAATAATTATTCATTAATACATATTATGTATTTCAGTGACATTAATTGTATATTAATTATACCAAGAATATATACTTTACGCTTTTTGCATTTAATAGTAAAATAAACCTTAATATATTTTTCACGATATCATATTGTATTTGAATATAATTTATGTTTTAATATCTTTTGAACAATGTTTGTAACTTTCATATTCATTGTTGTTCGTTGTTGTATGTACAGTGCTGTGAATAATTATATATTCAAAGAATCTTTTGTCAAACTTTGTGAATATGAATGTACATAGAAATGTATATAATTATTTTTCACAATCCTTAAAACCTCATATACTCTAATTCATGTAAAATTCTTTTTCCCAATCTTGTTTACCTACAAAAGATATCTAGTTGTTAAACATAAAATCATCCATTTGAACTGTGAATAAATATAGGTTCAGGTGTCTGATTATTTTTAAAAAATGTTGAAGGAATAATTTACTTTGAAAATTATTTAATAATTAAAGAAACGACCTTTATCCTTAATTACAGCTAATCATGTTATACTTTCGCACCTTTATCCTTAATTACGCTAATCATGTTATATTCGTGTTACACTTTCAATTATACTGTCTATTGTTATTTGTGAAATGTCTTCCCACGCTTTCTTTATTCTACGTTGTAATTCAGCTTTCGACTGAATTTCCAACTTTTCTTCGTCATAAACGTTCTTTATCAGCAGTGCCCAAACAATCTTGATATGATTTAAGTCTGGGCTCAATGATGGCCACTCCAGGACTTTAATTTTATAATCATTGAACCATCTTTTAGTGGACGTGGGTGCAGGTGCACTGTTGACTTATCACATTTTCATCCCCTGTAATAGTTATGACATACAACATACAACAAAAATATTCTTCCAATATTTCTTGATATTCTTATATTCATTCTAGTATTCATCTTATATTCATTCTAGTATTTATAAATGCTATTTATAACATTATATGTTTTAATTGCGGCCTATATCATTACTGGCACACCTGCCATTGGTCGTTGAAATGTACCACTTTTTTTCTTGGCTCTTATATCATAGTATTGAATACCATCAGGACCTTTTTCAGGTTTTCTTTGTCACTAAAGATGATATGCTCTACCACATATCTGATTGTCCGTTAAATTTTTCCGCAAATGCCAAACGAGTTTCCATATGACCTTTGTTTAAAGGTAGTTTTTCAATTTTATATATGTTTATTTTCATTTTGGATCCATTTTCACATCAGGCATGAATCTGATTGATATGGTTGATATCCACTTGATATTGTTGCACAACGAAGCTGCTGACGAAGCTTTCAAGACTTTTTTCATTGTCAGTACTGCTCGTTTCACAATTGAAGAAAAGATATTTTAAGTCAAATAGGTGGATAATTTTTCCTTTTCATAAGAGATTACTTATTACATTTTGCGATTTATTAATAAATATTCGCGATTTCGTGGTGCGACATTCCATAATATCGTCCAAAATTTGATGTTGCTCCATTTCGGAAAGTTGTCGATAGCGG